TATATATATATATATACATAATTTTCACTAATTGAAATGTTTGGCCAAAAACAACTTTTTCACAATATTCTAATTCATGTAAATGCACCGGTACTATAATTTTGTTGAATACCAGTGAAAATCAAAATCAGTGTGGAATGACATAAAACCAGAATCTGTTTGTTAATTTAACATTAAATATGACATTAAATTGCACAGAAAATGCTATTTATATACAAAACCTGGTTGTGCGAAGGTCCCATATCTTCACACCATCTGTGACTGCACTGGTGAGGAACAGGTTGTAGGACTCTGAAGTCTGTGTGCTGAAGATGGATCCCTTTAAAATACACACAACAAAACTATTTGTTAAAATATGCTTGACTGAGATTACCAGAAACGCCTATCATTCACAGATGGAAAAGAGTTATGCTTGATACAGTGTTCATTGTGTTATAATGTTTTTCTTAAAAAATCATCTAATGTCAATCTGAAATTTTAGGTAAAAACAGCATAATCTAAACAACACCTGGTTTGTGTTTAGGAATCATGGAGGTGGACACCAAGTGCTTTAAAACATTGTCCCATCATCTAATCTATCCATCTTTCTTTAGCTACTAACAGGTCAAGGCCATCATGGACATTTTTGTTTAGAATTGTCTGACAAGAGCTTCTTGACCAAGATAATATCAGGATTCTGCAATAAACTATTTTCTCATATACTGTATGTATCAAAGCTGTATTCATGAGATCCTGATTTTATTGTAGGCTCATATGAATGGTTAATGCCACACAGTAGGGTGCCTTAAGATTACAGCCATTAGATGCTGATTATATATTGTTCTGGAGTCGAGTCGTGGGGGCAGCTTGAGCAGGGAGGCTCAGACATCTCTTTCCATGGCCACCTTTTCCAGCTCTTCTGAGAAGATTCCAATGCGTTCCCAGGCCAGCCAAGAGACATACGTAGTCTCTCCAGCATGTCCTGAGTCTTCTCCAGGGTTTCCTCATAGCTGGACATGCCCAAAGCACCTCCCTAGAGAAGTGTCCAGGAGAACCCTTACCAGATGCCCTCTGGACCACCTCAACTGGCTCCTCTCAATGTGGAGGAGCAGCGGCTCTACTCACTGGTTACTGAACATCTCACACTATCTCTAAGAGAGAGTCCAGTTACCCTGCAGAGAAAATTCATTTTGACCGCCTGTATTCATGATTTTATTCTTTCGGTTACTACCTAAAATTAGTGACCATAGATGAGGGTAGGAACGAAGACCGACAGGTAAACAGAGAGCCTCACCTTGCAACTCTACTTGCTCTTCACCATAATGGACTGAGACAGAGTATGCAATATTGCAGAAACTGAACAGATTTTTCTTTTCTTTGTCAAGCTCAATTCATCCATCTCACCTGAACAAAACCCAGAGATACTTAAAATCCTCCATTTGAAGCAGCACCTCACTCCCAACATGAAATAAATCTTGGAGAAGCTGTAAGCTCGACATGGCGTAAATAATCAAATTCGGCTGTTTGGAGTTGCTATGAGAGAATGTAATAGCGAGACTGTGAGTCAGACATGGAAATTTACAAGTTCAGTCTGACCCAAACAATGTGATATCTGAATCTGGACGTGGGCTTGGAAGGTGGACTATATCAATTTATCCTTGGATGTTAAGGAAACAAAGATGCTCTGTCCCCCCCTCCCCACCCCATCCCTTCCCCAAAGTCGTGGACCTGTGAACAGAGCTCATCCGAACTGGCTGATAAACAAACACCTCTGATCAGGACTATGGCTGGTGGTGGTGGTGGTGGTGGTGGGGGGGGTGTCTCTGGACTGTGCTGTGCTACAACCTTCCCTCAAACTCAACTCAATGCCTCCACTGGCCTCTCTTGCCTCACCTGGTGCAGCAACCTAGGAGATGGGAAGGCGCCAAGGGGTGCGATGCTCATCTGGCGGCCGTGCTGGGACCCCCACACCCTACCCACTCCACACGCATATGTATTATGTCTACTTATGTTGCTTTGCTGTGGTATATTTTTTTGACGCCTCAAATCATGCCCTGTCAAGGACACGGTGTGAGAGATCTTTTTTTATACATTTTTCCTTATGTTTTCTCCCCCTTTTCCTATCTAAGCAACAAGGGTAGCACATCTTAGAAGCTGCAGCCCCCTGTACACTTCTGTCCATCTTTAGGATGGATGTACATAAAGTAATTTTGTTGTACTGCTGTGCAAGGATAATAAAAGCATTCTGATTCTGATTCTGATGAAGAAACCAATCCACCCTTTTCTGATTGAGGACCACTTGGATCATATACAAATCTTTAAAAAAATGTTTTAGAATTATTATTAGTAGTAATGATTCAAGTTGTGCGCCTTGTAATGGACTTGCAACCTGACCAGGGTATAATCTGCCTTTTTCACAGTGACTGCTGGACATGGGCACCAGCGAACTCGGTGACCTACAAAGGAAGACGCAGGTAATGGATAGATGGATGGACAATGTCTATAGTTTTAAATGCAGCAAATCACAAGCTAGTTGCATCTGTATGTATAAATATGTATGTTTTGATTGTTCTAACTTGTTTTAATCGATTATGCTTTCTCTTATCCCTTGAGCACTCCTGAAAAGGAGATTTTTAATCTCAGTGAGTTTTTTATTTGTTTAATAAAGATTAAATAATTAAAATATATAAAAATAAATCTCTACACCCTAAAACCACAAGGCCATTAATAATAGTATGACTTTATTGGGAAAGAAATGTGTAATGGTAGCAAAATTCCTGTTAATCCATGGCATTTTCCGTCCTTTATGTACAACACCAAAAGAGGCCCAGACAAAAAAATTAGTGTTTCCACTTCACGTCTGCACATAAATTCCATTTATGACTTCCAAGCCGAGTTATCAGATGATAAAGTTAAGCATCTGAGTGAGAGAAAGGGAACACAGCTGTGGGGGTGTTTTTTGTTTAGATTTCCATTAAGAATGAGAGAACAGGAGTTTGAGAGGGCATTTCTAGTTCTTTTTTCCGAGAAGTCCTCCGGTCTGATGAGTTCCAGGTGAATTTCACAGAAAAGGCGATGGAAACCAAGTGGGAAAGGCTGCATCTAAAGCGGCAATTCCTGAGGTTTTGTCTGCCCTGGGATTAAAAATCTAGATGAGAGGGAGATGTGTTCATATGAGAGCAGTGTCCAAGCGAGGAGAATCCCTCTGATCCACAGCTACTGACCCCACAGCATCCAAAGACCCTCAGGCAGAGAACTCCTCATTGATGCAATAGTCCAGCTGAAACAACACAACACTGGTTTTCTACGATGTACGACCCACAAAAGCTGGTATGACAGGGAACAGGCCCACCTGGGCTAAAAGAAAATTGTCAGCTGTCCAAGATTCAATAGTAGCTGAAAGGGTTAATGCAGTTAATCCATGCCGGTAGCTGGTGCTTATTCAGCTAATCCAGGGTGTCCCGAGGGTAAAATATGCAGCATTAAAGCTGCAAAAATGACTTTACTAAAGGGTCATTGAGCATAAGCATTCCTTGTAAACAAGTTGTGTAAGCATTAATGCTAAATCATCATTGCAATAATTTTTACAATGCAAAATTTTTTGCTGCTGCTAAAAGTCAGCAAAATTTTATGTAACTTGTTTTTACATTCAGATAAATCACAACCTAATATAGATACAGACAGAAACAAACACCCCTTCACCCCTTCATGGACTTCATGTTCCCTCGCCCGGACATGGGTCACCGGGGCCCCACTCTGGAGCCAGGCCTGGAGGTAGGGAACACGGGTGAGCACCTGGTGGCCGGGCTTTTACCCATGGAGCTTGGCTGGGCACAGCCCAAAGAGGAGATGTGGTCCCTCTTCCCATGGGCTCACCACCTGTGGGAGGGGCCAAATGGGTCGGTTGCAATGTGGGATGGGTGGTGGCTGAGGGCCCTGGCGGTCTGATCCTCAGCTACAGAAGCTGGCTATTGGGACATGGAATGTCACCTCACTGGTGGGGAAGGAGCCTGAGCTGGTGTGTGAGGTTGAGAGGTTTCGGCTAGAAATAGCTGGACTCACCTCTACGCATGGCTCTGGCTCTGGAACCAGTTTCCTTGAGAGAGGTTGGACACTCTTCCACTCTGGAGTTGCCCCTGGTGAAAGGTGCCGAGCAGGAGTGGGCATACTTATTGCCCCCCATCTTGGCGCCTGTGTGTTGGGGTTCACCCCAGTGAATGAGCGGGTGGCCTCCCTCTGCCTATGTGTGGGGACAGGTTCTGACTGTCGTTTGTGCTTATGCACCAAATGGCAGTTCAGATTACCCACCCTTTTTGGAGTCCTTTGAGGGGGTACTGGAAAATGCACCTCCTGGGGACTCCCTTGTTCTGCTCGGGGACTTCAATGCTCATGTGGGCAAAGACAGTGAGACCTGGAGGGGTGTGGTTGGGAGGAACGGCCCCCCTGATCTGAACCCGAGTGGTGTTCTGTTGTTGGACTTCTGTGCTCATCATGGATTGTCCATAACGAACACCATGTTCAAACATAAGGGTGTCCATATGTGCTCTTGGCACCAGGATACCCTAGGCCGCGGTTCGATGAATGACTTTGTCGTCATCTCATCTGATCTGCAACCACATGTCTTGGACACTCAGGTGAAGAGAGGGGTGGAGCCATCCACTGATCACTACCTGGTGGTGAGTTGGCTCCGATGGTGGGGGAGGATGCCAGTCAGACCTGGCAGACCCAAACGTATTGTGAGGGTTTGCTGGGAACGTCTGGCAGAGTCTCCTGTGAGACGGAGCTTTAACTCCCACTTCCGGGAGAACTTTGAACGTGTTCCGGGGGAGGTGGGGGACATTGAGTCCGAGTGGGCTATGTTCCATGCCTCTATTGTCGAGGTGGCTTACCGGAGCTGCGGCCGCAAGGTTGTTGGTGCCTGTCGCGGTGGCAACCCTCGAACCTGGTGATGGACACTGTCGGTGAGGTACGCTGTCAGGCTGAAGAAGGAGTCCTATTGGGCCTTTTTGGCCTGTGGGACCCCAAAAGCAGCTGATGGGTACCGTCAGTCCAAGCGACATGCGGCTCGGGTGGTCGTTGAGGCAAAAAACTTGGGAATGGGAGGAGTTCGAAGAGGCCATGGAGAATGACTTCCGCACGGCTTTGAGGTGATTCTGGTCCACCATCTGGCGTCTGGGGGGGGGGGGGGGGACACAACCAACACTGTTTATAGTGGGGGTGATGTGCTGCTGACCTCAACGGGATGTCGTGGGTCGGTGGGCAGAATACTTTGAAGACCTCCTCAATCCCACTGGCACGTCTTCCACTGAGGAAGTGGAGCCTGGGGACTCTGGGTTGGAC